AAGACAGACCAAGGGTCGAGCCCTGGCGGAGTCCGTAACACTATCCCCTCCCTCTAGAAGGCAACGTCCCGGCTGCCAAAAATCATGAAGCAATGGTGAAATCTGTGAAGGACGGGACGGGCCCGATCACTGGTTAACAATCGAAAGGGAAGAGGGGTATAATGTGTGTGGTATGGGCTGCGGGAGTAAGAGGGAACAGGGTTTGGTACCGGTGAACAGAGTTGTCCTACTGATGAACTAGCGGGGGATTGCAGGGAACAGGGTAGTCCTAAAAAAACGAACCAAAGGGACGGCAGGGAGCAGGGTTGTCCTAGTGATGAACTAAGGGGACTGCATGGTTTGCTATAGGTTAAGGGGGAATAGAGTTCAGGGAACAGGGAACTTCTATTGATGTTCTATTGGGTAAGGGAGACGGTGTTCAGGAAAACAGGGTATTTCTATTGATGTTCTAGTGGGTACGGGGAACAATGGTTAGGGAAGCAGGGATCTGCTAATGATGTTCTGCAGGGTTGTCTAAGTCAGGAAAAAAAAAAATGAAAATGTTTGTTCAGGATGTAAGGGCTGGTGTGTTCGAAGGAGTTGGAAGCAGAATCTCATGTAGGAACAAAGTGTCCAAGTGTCTTGAAAGGGGGTCTGCAGCGGTCTTGATCAGGTCTTTGGAGTGGTGGTAGATGCGGTCTTCAGCGGCTGCGATAGGTAGAAGTCCAAGAAGCGTAGTAGTAGTTCAAGTGTGAAAATCCAAGTGCTAGGGTGGGTCCGGTACACGAATTGCAATGAGGTCTGATCTGGAAGCAAGGAAGTCACATACTGATGCAAAGATCCATGTCACAAGTTGCTGCTCCAGTAAGTCCGCGTGTCGGGATGCTGGCCGATGAAACAGCATGGTGGCCAAACCAGCTGCATAATCTCCATGAACAGTGAGGCAGAAGGCCATCTTCGTCGTGTGCTAGCCATTAGATCCTTTATCGTCGGCGTCACGCAGGTTCACAAGCATTTGACAAGAGAGACAAGGTAGTGGAGAGGACAGATGGAACAAGGTTAGGCGAGGGCAAGCGCAGATCAGACATCATGAATGAGGGTCAAGGGGAGGGTGGCTGGGTTCAAGGGTGTGTGTAGAGCAGGGTTGCGAGGGTTTTACGGGGGGTTTATGCCATAGTTATATAGGTATCTAGGTCATAGGATTAGCACTATCATGGGCGTGGACAAGTTTCATGGCGTTCTTAAGATTAGAGAGAGGTTYCCATGTAGATTCTTCGTCGGGGTATCCGGTCCATTTGACTTTGTACTCTGTGATTGGTTCCGGATGATCATATACTTGAGTGGTTCGTCCGCCGATGATGGTTTCGACAATGAATTCAGGGCTTGTGGATAGCATGATTGGTGGAGGTCTAGGGTATGGGCGGTTGGCGAACTGGGGCGGGGATTCATGGTATTCTTTTAGGTACTCGACATGGAAGACTGGGTGGACACGACCCATGTCAGGGGGAAGTTGGAGTTTGTAGTTGACGGGGGAGGTTTGTTCAATGATGGGGAAGGGACTGAGCCATTTGTTGCAGAGTTTCTTGGACAAGCCGTGTTCGAGTTCAAAGCGTTTGGCAGAGAGCCAGACTTTGTCCGCCGATAATGGTTTCGAAAACGAATTCAGGGCTTGTGGATAGCATGATTGGTGGAGGTCTAGGGTATGGGTTGTTGGCGAACTAGGGCGGGAATTCATGGTATTCTTTTAGGTACTCGACATGGAAGACTGGGTGGACACGACCCATGTCAGGGGGAAGTTGGAGTTTGTAGTTGACGGGGGAGGTTTGTTCAATGATGGGGAAGGGACTGAGCCATTTGTTGCAGAGTTTCTTGGACAAGCCGTGTTCGAGTTCAAAGCGTTTGGCAGAGAGTCAGACTTTGTCCTCTACTTTGAATAACACGTCGCGTTTATGTTTATTAGTCTTGTTGGCTTGTTGTTCTTGGGTTCGTTCAATGGCTTCGGAGGCTTCTCTCAGCAGTTTGTTCATTGTTGCTACCCATTCACTGAGAGAGGGGCAGGGGGTGGATGGGTTAAGCTGCGAAGGAAACAAGAAGTCAGAGGGCAAGCGAGGGTGGTAGCCAAGGTCAAGGTACAATGGAGACATGCCGGTGGAAGGGCAGACGGCGTTGTCGTAGGCAATCTCGGCGGCTGTGAGCAACTGATCCCAATCGTGTTGGTGAGGATGACAATACTTCCACATAATTCTTTGGAGAGTATCGTTCATCTTCTCTGTTTGTCCATCGGTCTGTGGATGGAATGCAGTGCTATACTTGAGTGTGGTTCCGTAGGCCGTGAAGAGGTGTTTCCAGAATTGTGAGAGAAAAAACGAGGATCACTGTCACTGATGATGTTCTTGGGGAGGCCGTGATGGCGAGCAACGTGGTCGAAGAAGAGTGTGGCGACATCTTTGGCACTGTGCGAGGTCATGCAGGGGACGAAGTGGGCACGTTTGGTCAAGCGGCAGACAATGACATAGATGCAATCATGCCCACGGTCGGTCTTGGGAAGATTGCACATGAAGTCCATGGAGATGGACTACCAACGGCGAGTAGGGATGGGCAATGATTAGAGCTTGCTGGGTTTGATCCGGTTCGAGGGGTTGACATCTTGACACGTGGGGCATGAGCGAATGTATGCTTCGACATCGGCGAGCAGGGAAGGCCAGTAAAAGTAGCGGGAGATGGTGTCGAAGGGTTTTGGAAACCGAGGTGTCTTGCGGTCTTGGCGGCGTGGTGCTCGGCCAAGAGTTGAGTACGGAGACCACGTGCGTCGGGGATGCAAAGTTGGCGAGTGCCTTTGGAATCGATGTAAAGAAGGTTGTCGTGGAGGGAGTAGTCGGGGACAGGGTCAAGATCGCGAAGCTTTTTGTAGATGGTGGCGAAGTCTGGGCAAAAGAGGTAGCCTTGGGTGTATCGATGGTGGAGTGATGGGAGGAGTTGGATGTGAGTCATGGCGGCGTAGACTTTCTGGGGGGGCTTTTGGTTGGGTCGTCGAGAGTGGGCATTCGCGACGCGGTTGCTTTTGTCGGGGGTTTGGCAAATGGTGAATGTGAACTGCGCAAGGAAGTCTAGCCAACGGGCTTGGCGTGGAGTGATATCATTCTTGGAGAGGATGCAAGAGACGATGGTGTTGCTAGTGCGGATGGTGAAGTATTGGCCGTCAAGGTAAGGGTGCCAGATTGTGAGGGCGTAAATCACGGGGAGGAGTTCCTTCTCGTTGGAGGGGTAATTCATCTCCGCGGGGAGGAGCTTCTTGCTTGCGAAGGCGATGGGGTATTCGCCAGGTGGAGCCTCGGGGTGAGTGGGCGAGGTCTTGATGGAGGGGGTCTCGGCGATGTTGCGGGGACAGTACGGCTCCAATGGCGAAGTCGGAGGCGTCAGTGGTGACATAGAAATGGCGAGTGGGGTTGGCGATTTTGAGGACAGGGGTCGTGGTGATGGTTTGCTTGAGTAGGTCAAAAGCGTGTTGGCGACGATCGTTCCAATGGCAGGGCTCGTCCTTGCGGGTGAGYTCGTGGAGAGGGTAAGAGATCTCGGAAAAGTTGTGAATGAACAAGCGGTTATAGTAGGCAAGGCCGAGGAAGGAACGGAGTTGGAGGAGGGTCTTGGGGGGGGGGTACTGGACGAGGGCTGTGACCTTCGAGGGGTCCATACGGATGCCTTCAGCGGAGATAATGTGACCGAGGTATTCGACGCTCTAAGCGACAAACGTACATTTGTTGAGCTTGGCGTATAATTTTTGCTCTCGAAGGATCGAGAGGACTTGGCGAAGGTGTTGAAGGTGGGACTCGAAGGTGGGGCTGAAGACAAGGATGTCATCAAGGTAGACGACGACGCAGACTTCGAGGAGGTTGCGGAAGATGTGGTTCATGGTAGATTGGAAGGTGGCGGGGGCATTGACGAGTCTGAATGGCATTACGAGGAACTCGTAGTGCCCGAACCGAGAGCGGAAGGCGGTTTTGTGGGTGTCCTCCTCGCGGATACGGATCTGGTGGAAGCCACTGCGAAGGTCGATCTTGGTGAAGTACTCGGCTCCACGGAGACGATCAAGGAGCTCGGAAATGCGAGGTAGGGGGTACTTGTTTTTTATCGTGATCCGGTTCAAGGCGCGGTAGTCTGTGCGCATGCGGAGTTTTGAAGTTCCACCTTTCTTGACGAAAAGGCAGCTGGTTCCGAAGGGGGATGAACTTGGCTTAATGAACCCTTTTTCAAGGAGTTCACTGAGTCGCCGCTTATTTCTTCGGCTTCGGGGATAGAGAGTTGGTATGGAGGGCGGCAAGGTGGAGAATGTCCAGGCTCCAAATCAATGATATGGCATACGCCACAATCCGGAGGTAGTCCGACGGGTTGGGACTCGGGAAAGACGTCCTTAAACTCGTCGAGGATTGAGGTGATGGCGGAGTTGGAGGGGGGGGCTTGATCGGGTTTGTCCGTCGGGAGTAAGTCCTCGGGGCTTTCGCGATCAAGGACAAGACAATAGTAGGCGGAGTCGGGGTTCAGGCGAGCCATGTGAAGGAATTGGTGCGGGGTGACGGAGCCTTTGGAGGTTGGATATGGGAGATGGGGGACATCGATGGTTGTGTCGGGGGGGGTGGTGAGGCAAAGGAAGTTGGGGTGGAATGCGTATGGCATGTAGCGGTTCAGCCACGGGGTTCCTAAGACGATGTCGCACATCAAGTGCATGATATTGAATACACATAAAGTGCATGACATCGAATGAGACCTTACTGCGGAGGGTTCCGACGGTCATGGTGGTCTCGGGAACCGTGCGGTCTACTACGACGGCAGTGTCTTTGTCCCCTAAGCAAATTGTGATCGGGGAGTCATAGTCGGTAGAGGTAAGACCGGCTTTGCAGACACACGCGTCGGTGATGAAGTTACCAGTGGCTCCAATGTCGAGGAGGGCCCGAAACTTAGTTGTAGACGCACCAAGGGTGGCGGTGATGAATTTGAGGTGGAAACGAGATGAGTTGGCGGTGAAGATGATGGTGTTGAGGCGGCGTTGCTCGTTGCCTAAGCGGACAAGCCGATCGTGTCGAGCTTGTTCCTCAACAACATCAGAAAAGGTGACAGTGGATGGGTTTGGAAGAAGGCTAGAGGAGCATGGGGCAAGGGGGGGCGTTTGCGATGCGTGGGAATCGTCCGGTGAAGGGGGCGTCACTGGAGGGGGGGAGGTAGAGGAATTGTCGATGCCCGATCGATGTCCTGGGGATTGTGTTCATGATGAGGGACCTGTGCTTGTCAAGGGCGGTGATGCGGAGGTTGTGGGTCGAGTGGAGGCGGAATGGCGGGTGAATTGTGCGGCGTTGGGGCAGTTGGTTTSTTGGTGCCCCAATTGGCGACAACGGAAACAACCCCCTTTTGCTTGGAGGTAGGTGCGCTCCTCGGGGATGAGTTTCTTGAGGCGGGAGGGKGGGGKAGAATAGGGTGGTCGGGAGCTGCGATCTATGCGTTCCATCCTCATGAATTGGACGACATCGAGTTCCTCGGAAGTGAGGGATGAAGAATCAAGTGAATCGGAAGATGCGTCGGGGTCAGGTGTGGTTCGAGGAAGTGATGGAGGTGGTGTCTTCAGGGGTGGTGTGGTGGAAAAGCGGGTGCGGAAGGGGGCGGGCGCGGTCTGGTGGTGGGGTGGAGTCGATCGTGGTGAAGCATGCGAGAGAGGAGGTCAGCAAGGGGCATGTCGGGTTCGTGGGCGAGGGCGGTTGCAAGGTCTTTGTGGCATACTCGTTTGATGCGGGAGATGAACGCAAAGTCGGGAATGACGGTGTGGGGGAGGTGGTGGCGCAAGGAGCGGACGTAGTGGATGAAGCGGTCCGTGAGACCGGTCTGGCGGAGGTGGCAGAATTGTTCAAGGTAGTCGTCAATGGTTTTCTGGGGGCGGAAGGTGGCAGTGAGAAGGTTGGCCCATTGGAGGAAGGAGTGACGTGGTCCTCCGGAGGCTCGACGGTTTTTGACTTCAGCCATCCTCCATTTGGTTACATTGCCAAGGAGGCGGGAGGTGGCAATGGGGAGCCAGTGGGCACGGGGCATGTGGTGGAGGTGAAAAGAGTTCAAGAGGACCGCCCAAGAGGCCAGTAGGCCGCTATATCTTCCGGAGGAGCAAGTAGCTCCTCCTCATTTGCGGTATGCAAGGATTGGCGACATGCTGCTGAGCGGAGCGCTGGGCTGATACAGCGCTACCTGGAGGTGAAGGGCAGCCTGGGCGCTCAGCCTGGCTATGGCGAGCAGCCCAGCCTGAGGAGGAGGAAGAAGGGGGCGAAGGAGGAGAGTGGCGAGGCACCTACCTGGCTATGGTAGACACCATCTTCATCACCTTGTTGGGCGCTACATCTGGAAGGCCCCAGTTGGGGTAGTGCCGCACCAAGGAAGCTCGAGGCAGAGCTTGGCATGGCGGACCAGTCAGCAGCAGCAGTATAGCTGCTTTGGGTTGTCCTTTGGACAGTAGTGCAGCGCCATAGCTGCTTTGGGTTGTCCTTTGGACAGGAGGGCAGGGCCCTCAGTAGTCCGCCATAACCTATGCATGTGAGAGGAGCCAGAAGGAGGGAAGCCATAGCTATGGTGGACTTGTTGTTGTTGTTGTTGAGTCAGCAGTAAGAGGGAACTTCGGATATTGATTCTGGTGCATCCACTCATTGTTATTATTATTATTCGGAGAAGAATAAGATTGGCGAAGCGAAGGAGGAGGAGGAAGGTGAAGAGAGAAGGGGGAATTGTCATTGGTCTTGCTGGTGTACATCTTTTTCTTCTTCTTTTTCTTCTTCCTCTTCTTCTTCTTCTTTCTCTCTCCTCTGGTCTCTATCTCTTTGCAAGTGCTTTCATTTCTTTCGCAATTGGGTGGCATTGTCTTTCATTATGAATTTGCACTTTCGGAATGACCAGGATCGTAACATTCCCGTATAGTTACATAGCAAATTAATTGGGCAGAATGTCTGTGCTGTGTGATTTTCCGGGGTGGAGGTGTTATGTTGTGCATCGTTGGATTTGAAAAGAATATTTGAGCAGAGCATCTGAATCCGATTTAGCAGAGCTCTGCCGAAGATTGCCTCCGGAATTTTCCGGGGTGGAGGTGTTATGTTGTGCATCGTTGGATTTGAAATGAATATTTGAGCAGAGGGTCTTAATCCGATTTAGCAGACTTCTGCTGAAGATTGTCTCCGGAAGTTAAACAGTCTAAGTTCCTTGCTATGTGATATTGACTGCCGAATAGTGCCAAAAGTGGAGATAGGTCGTGGATGTTGTGAAATTGCGTCGCTAAAATGGTTGAAGGTCTCAGGGTTGATATCGGTGGGCGGTATGTGTATGGATGCGGTGAATGGCGTGAGCTTTCCCATTGCTTTGTACGGCCCACAGAGATGTTGAGAAATTGCAAATTGTTATATCATCAACGAGACCTATCTTCACTTGTCGGTTTTTGTCTCAGTCTACTACTCGTTTGTACCACTATTTCTGTCGGTCTTCTGTGTTCGTGTATGGATTTGTGTCTGCGTAGTGGACGATGGAAACACGCCTTTAACTCTACGCAATGCTAAAGATTCACGAGTTGTGACCGGTGTTTGCAGATATGGCATGTTCTGTCTTTTAAAATGAATATGATGTGAATCAATTGTGGCATTGGTCTTACTGACATCCCTTTCCATGGATGCGCATTTAAGTTGGAATGCCTGAGACCAAGTCCGGCAGCCAGCAGCCGCTGCTCAATCTGATTGGTGGTTGGTCGCGGTCCGTTTGCTGTACATAGGGCCCGGTATCTGGAATGAATTCGAAGATAAACACAATTAGCTACAACCGAGGAAGGATACAGGGAAGTTGTTGTGTGAGTATGCCTTTGGTTCTGTCGGTCCTTCCCTCAGTGAAATTGGTTCTGTGTCGTCTGCCAAGAACGAATTGTGTCTGCAAACTATCCGCTTATATATATCCTTGCTGAAAGTGATTTGTAAAAAAACGTGGCTGCTTTACTGCACCGAAATCTTGTGGCTTTTCTTAGGACACCTTACTTGGTCCCAGTGGGGCTGTGAGTGAGAGTTTTTCCCAGTTCGACCCCATCCGATTGTGAGTGAGTGTGCCTTTGGTTCTGTCGGTCCTTCCCGCAGTGGAATTGGTTGAAACTGTCCTCTTATATATATCCTTCCTGAAAGTCATTTGAAAAAAACAGTGGCTTGTTTATTGCACAGAAATCTTGTGGCTTTTCTTAGGACACCTTACACAGTCCCAGTGGGGCTGTGAGTGAAGAGTTTTTCCCAGTCCGACCCCATACGACTACCTCTAAGGTAAGCAGTAAGAAAGGGCTTGTTCGCAGGGATGTGACAATCGTGGTATTTTTATCGAGGGATATAAAGGCAGGAACTATACTTGCAAGTAGACGGAACGGACGAGCGTCCGGTCGGGTCCGCTTTGCCGCGTGCGGCATCCTCCCCCCGGACCGGATGGACCCGGACCGGACCGGACGGGGGTGTTGTTTTTTTTTTGGGGGGGGGGGGGGGGCGTAACTGGTCGTCGGGCGCACATTTGTGCGCCATGCGGGTCTGTCTGCCGCACGTGCGGAACCGCCCGGACAGCGTCCGCTTGGAAGTATGGCAGGAACCTATCGAGTAATATTTGCTGCTGGTGGTCAAGGCTGCTCAGATTTGGAATCCGTCTGAGTTGAAAATAGCATGCAGGTTAGGTATAAAGGAGTAGATCGGATAAGGGACGCTGGACCCAGTTTCCAGCACAATGGCGTCACTTTCAATGGTGTACTGTTTTGTAAAAGATGTATTTAATGGACGCTGGACCCGGTTTCCAGCAGGTGTTGCTCCCCACCAATAGATGGAGCTGCCCGCCAGGCAAAGCCTCAATCCCGGTGGTTCTCGTAGCGCCACCAGGATAGAGGCCTTGCACAAGGGTCTTTCTTCAAAAGAAAAAAAAAGAAAAAAAAAAAAAGAAAAAAAAGGGACTTGAGCATGTGTGTGGGTTTACTTTGAGGTTACGTTTATTGTGAATTGCCTGTTCCAAGGGAGTCTGCAGTATGGAATTGTTGCTTCCGATTCATTGGGCAGAGAGTTAGTTGTAGGCCGTCTTTGAGAGAGGTCGCCATTTTTTGTTGTCGTCTCCCAGTCCCAGCGTCACATGAATGAAGAATAATGAAGGGTGAGCTCTACAAGTGTAATGACATGGGTCCATGCCTGTACGGATTTAGTGCCATGAATGTAACAGGACGAGTCTGTGGGCGATGGTGGTGTGGCAGACATGGAGCAGTACGTTGCAGGGTCCTGGTGGTTGGCAGCAATCAACTGGGCGAGTCTATTTTTTCTGGCGAGACACGGGAATGTCTAGCTGCTGCGTCCCGGTGGTTGGCAGCAATCATCTGGGCGAGTCTATATTTTCCGGCGAGACACAGGAACGGCTAGGAGATTTCTATGTTCTCTTGCGAGATGATGGACATAACCATTGGGCAGAGAGTTAGTTGTAGGCCGTCTTTGAGAGAGGTCGCCATTTTTTGCTGTCGTCTCCCACTCCCAGCTTCACATGAATGAAGAATAATGAAGGGTGAGCTCTACAAGTGTAATGACATGGGTCCATGCCTGTACGGATTTAGTGCCGTGAATTTAACAGGACGAGTCTGTGGGCGCTGGTTGTGTGGCAGACATGGAGCAGTACGCTGCAAAGTCCTGGTGGTTGGCAGCAAACAACTGGGCGAGTCTATGTTTTCTGGCGAGACACGGGAATGTCTGGCTGCTGCGTCCTGGTGGTTGGCAACAATCATTTGGGGAGTTTATATTTTCCGGTGAGACACAGGAACGGCTAGGAGATTTCTATGTTCTCTTGCGAGATGATGGACATAACCATTCACTCCCAAGGAAGTAGGTGATTTTCAATGTGGTCGCTTTCATCTTCTGGAGTCTGGTTTGGGCTCATTAAAGGATGGTTATGACTGCAAGTCGTCGAGTGTCAGATAATGTGGTGTTGCGCTTCTGTGTTGGTGAAACGTAACATACGGCTTGGAGCTCTGGATGTGGTTACCTCTGCTTTGGCCTTGCAATCCAGGCTGATGTGTTCTCCAATTTAGGTATTTGTTGGATGTGCAGATCAGGCCGCAATAAGGGCAGTCAAGGAGTTCGTGCAGATTGAAGAGGGCGGAATGGCAGAACGTTTTCAAACAATCCAGAGGTCTTCTAATGGTAAACTGAAGTACACATAGTTCATGTCGGGTTCACATGGCGGATGATCATCCTATAGTTGATCTGAATTTTTGAGGCTATGCAATTCATTGTGCAATAGTCTTTCACGCATATCTGATGTGGGGACGAGTCAGCAGTATGGACAGTCAAGCGATTGGGGTGCAGATGGAAGAGGGGGGAATGCCAGAACGTGTTGAAATAACTCGGGTCTACTGACGGTAAACAGAAAATCACATAGTTCGTGGCATTTTTTTCATGTAGTTGATTTGAGCATCTCAAGCTAAGTCATCGACTAAGTCACACACCAAGCGCTGGCTTCATTGGCTAAGTCACAACTTGAGCGTCAACCTTTCAGTGGGAACCCCTTGTTCCATATGGGCTATGAAATTACTGCTATAGTCTTCCGCTCCTATTTGGTGCTGATGAAGAAAGCCTTTTGATCTGGTCTCTTTTCGGTCTTGTTTTTCATACTTATTTTATCCGCTTGCATAGCTGCATGGTTGGAAGCATACTTCACACCTATTTAGCATGAGTTTGAGTAACGAGTTCACCATGCACGCTGCTAGTTGTGATACACCTACAGTATTTCTCTTGCGCAAGGTCGTGCAAAGGGTGCAGTTATGCCTTGTTATGTATTGCGGAGGTGCGTGGCGTCGTGCATCTTGTATGCACTGGATTGAGGAGGAAAGCGGTTTATGCATATGCAAGAAAAGGAATACAAAAAAACGAGAGAGCTACCGTAGTAAGTAGTTGAAACCCGTAACTGCTGGAACACAGACCTGAATTGTATCCATAAAATATTTTGCTGGCTTGCGCACGCCCCACCTGTAATTCGATGAACGTCTCTGTTAGGGAATGAGACCCTTGCCCATTATTTGCTCGGGGCCCTTCCGAAAACAGATTTAAGTTGGGGCAGTCTAATCATATTCCGTATGTCAGTCTCTGTTCAAGGTTGGGTAGACATACCTCTAAGTTGGGGCAGTTTAGTCTTATGTCTCATGTCGCCAGTTAGTTGGTGTACCCCTAAGTTTGGGCGGTCTTGTCCTATGCTTTATGTTCATAGTTTATATCGGGTCGGGCATACTCCTAGGTAAGGGCGGTTTGGTCATGCACTGTGTTTTATGCAGGTTGTGCATACTCCTAAGTTGGGGCAGTTTAATTATGCATATCCTATGCTTTCATTTAGGCAAGTCTTGACATATATCTAAGTTGGGGCGGTCTCATTTTATATCGTAGGAAAGGGGGATCAAAGAGAGGGTTTAAAAAATTGAGAGATGAACGAACTACTTTGCCAAAACAAATGTGGGATTGGGAGTGATATTGATTATGCTTGTTTGATTAGGGCGTTCGTCAGGGGTATCTCTTGATAGCCTTAGTTGCTTAAATGCTCATCGAGTGTTGAATCCGGGAGATCCGCGCCCTAGGGGACGGACAACGTTCGGGTTCAGATGGCGTTTTAACCCGATATGCCTATACTGCAGCGAAATGAGCAAATGCCCTCAACTGACCTACCTCTGCAATTAAATTTAAAACTTTCATATGTGGGTCATTAGCCCGGTAGGGGTACGCCCCTAAGGGTGGTGACAGCCCCTAAGGGAAGGTAAGTTGTTCCCCTCGGAAAACTATACTGTCGTAGGAGACCGCGAGAAGTACAGTTGGCGCACCCGACTAGAGCGGTGAAGGGAAAATGCGACCATACTCATTTCGGCGGCTCGGGAGATTATTTATAGGTCGTCTCCAAGTTATCTCATATTTGTTTTGTTACTCCTGCGTGACATGGTCAGGCGGACTTTCGCCTGGAGTGTAAAAGGCGGGATTCGATGCGTTGGATAGCGTGTAGTGTGTAATACTTACATTTCGATAGGAGCAGAGAGAGAGAGAGGGAGAGAGACGGAGAGACAAAGGAGGCTGTTGTGTGGCAGGTTTTGAAGAAACGCGTGAGAGAGAGAGAAAGGCACTTCAACAACACGCAATAAGAGAGAGAGTGAAGAAGAAGAAAAAAAAAAAAAAAAGGTCGGCCATTGCTACCATGATGGGCAACGAAGACTCTAAACCTGCTCATGACAGTCTTTGCGTGAATGCGTCGACCAACGACGTGACAGGCAGTACAGAGGCCACGTCGACAACAGGGCATGCGAGCCGCCCTTTAGGGAGGGGGTCACCATGCGATTGGTGAGAGGGACAGGCAAGGCGAAGGTGGCATTGGTGGGTGGGGGGCACTTACCCGTATCCCAGGCGGTGGCAGTTGGGGGGCTGGGTCCGTTACTTCCAACGAGGAAGGTTGGGGAGCCGGTGTCAACCGGTAGAACAGATTTGTCCACACGCCGATCGCACCTTGTATGTCACCCGCGTTTGTCATCCGCGGGAGGAATGATCGGGGCTCCTGTAACCTGCAAGAAAACAAGGTTAATTCAGATCCACCCAATGACCATTAAAGTCGATTGAAGACGCGATAAATAGAGATTCGTAAACCAGTTTTTGAAAGAAACAAAATATGTATTTCGAAAAGGGTCCACTGCGTTGGTCCCAGTCCCAGGAATAGTTCCACGTCAAAAACAGGAAAATCAGTTTGAGTCCTGACCGATGTCATTAACTGTGGAGGACGGATCCTCCGCCTAATGGGGTGACGTCGGTAACGTGCTCACTGATCCCATGGAAAGACACTGGAGCTCTCTGTATTGGAGCTAGACTTTCGAGGCCACTGGGGCCATTCCTCCAGATCAAGCTTTATCATGGGCTCGCTCGTGGCCGAGTTCATTTCACAAGTCTCTGTTTGACTTCGGGTGTCCCAGCGAATTTTTAGAGGCTCTTAAATGTTTGTATCGTTCTGAAGGCTTCGACCCGAGTTTCAAATTTCCCAACCTCTTTTCAAATGTCCGGTTTGGTCAGATAGCCTGGCCTGATCATGAGTTTCCAGCCTCACTTCGAATGTTCGGTTTGGTCAGATAGCCCAGCCTAATCATGAGTTTTCAGCCTCGCTTAAGTCCCAGCCCCATCCAAAGTTTGTCCCAAAGACCCCTTATTAACGTGTCCTCAAAGGCCCACTCTATCGGACATCCTAAACGTGGTTCAAGAACCCTTTCTGTAGAAGGTCCGTCACGGTGTCCCCCGAAGTTTCGGTTTGTGCGGTCTCGTAGCCCTGGTCCGCGTTCCAAAGTCCCTGCTTAGTCAAAAATATCCCAGCGTGATCGAATCGTTCGGCCTAAGCCCCCGTAGTCTCATTATTTCAATCTGCCTGTTGTCGTTCAATCGGGTCGGGCTCGTGGTCGTTCCGTTTCCCCGGCCCACGTAGCAATCTCGGCCTGTCTATGCTTGGTTTTCAGACCCCTGCTCCAGTTTTGTCATCTCAATCGGTCCCAGCTTAGGTCTCGTAGTCCTAGTCGGTGGAAATCTTTGTCACGGTTCGGGTCTGCGCCTCTTTACGTCTCGCGCCCAAAGTTCTTATTCGTGACCAAAAGCCTTGTTCGCGTGCAAGGGCCCAGTGCGCCCACTGCTCCCTTGCAGCTGATCACGCCCCGAGAGAGATGGTTAAATGGGAGCCTTATTTTTCATCGAATGTATAGCGAAATGACTGTTATATATGGAACATCGACGCTAAAGTCATCATTTTCATGGTTTTACACTTCGGTGTTTTACTAGTTAATTTTTATTATCATCGATGCATTTTTGGTGTTTCCGTAAACACACTTCGGGATTTCGGTGTTTTACTTGGTTTATTTTCTACATCTTGATCATTATATCCCGATGCGCTTTCGGTGATTCGCTACTGAAAACGCACTTCGGGATTTTGGTGTTTTACTTGGTCTTTGTTCTACATGTTGAACATTATATCCCGATGCGCTTTCAGTGCTTCGGTGGCGAAAATGCATTTCGAGATTTGGATGTTTTACTTGGTCGATTTTCTACACCTACATTATTATATCCCGATGCGCTTTCGGTGTTTCGGTACCGAAATTGCACTTTGGGATTTCGGTGTTTAACTTATTTTATTTTATACATTTTGAACATTATATCCCGACACACTTTCGGTGTGTCAATACTGAAAACACACTTCAGGATTTCGGTGTTTTACTTGGTTTTTTTTCTCCATCTTGAACATTATATCCCGATGCGCTTTCGACGTTTCGGTAGCGAAAATGCACTTCGGGATTTCGGTGTTCTACTTAGTCGTTTTTTTTTAGCTTGAATATTATAACCCGATGCGCTTTCGGTGTTTCGATAGCGAAAATGCACTCTGGGATTTCGGTGGTTTACTTAATTGTTTTTTTGGACCTTGAGCATTATATCCCGATCCGTTTTCAGTGTGTGGGTAGCGAAAACGCACTTTAGGGATTTCGGTGTTGTACTTAGTCGGTTTTTTTGACCTTGAATATTATATCCCGATGCGCTTCGGTGCTTCGGTACCGAAAACGCAGTTCGGGATTTCGGTGTTTTAGTTAGTTGATTTTCTGCACCTACATCACTATATCCAGTGTTTCGGTACCGAAACACACTTCGGGATTTCGGTGTTTTATTTTGTTGATTTTTTACACCAACATTATTATATCCCGACGTGCTTTCGGTGTTTCAGTACCGAAAACACACTTAGGGATTTTAGTGTTTTACTTAGTCTTTTTTTTTTCATCTTGAACATCATATCATGATGGACTTTCGGTATTTCGTTAGAGAAAAACACACTTCGGGATTTTAGTGAGTCGTTTTTTTTAATCTTGAATATTAGGTCCCAATGCGATTTCGGTGCTTCAGTGTCGAAAACACACGTTGGGATTTCAGTGTTTCACTTCGTCTTTTTTCTTCATCTTGAACATTATATCCCGGTGCGTTTTCAGTTTTTCGATACCACTCCGGGATTTCGGTGTTTTACTTGGTCTGTTTTCTACACGTAAAACATTATATCCCGTCGTGCTTTCGGTGCTTCGGTATTGAAAACAAACTTATATCTCGATGTGTTTTCGGTGTTTCGGTGCCGAAAAGGCTCTTCCGGATTTCAGAGTTGTACTTAATTTAGTTTTTTACATCTTAAACATTATATTCCGATGCGTTTTCGATATTTCGGTATCGAAAACGTACTTCAGGATTTCGGTGTTTTACTTGGTTTATTTTCTACGTCTTGACTATTATATTTGGATGAGGTTTCGGTGTTTCGGTAACGAAAACGCACTTCGGCATTTCGGTGTTTTACTTGGTCCATTTTGCACACCTTGAATGTTATATCCCGATGCGCTTTCGGTGTTTCGGTACCAAAATGCACTTCTCGATTTCAGTGTTTTACTTAGTTTATTTTTTACACCTAGATATTATATCCCGATGCGCTTTTGGTGTTTCGGTACCGAAAACGGACTTGGGGATTTTTGTGTGTTACTTCTGTACACCTTGAACATTATATCCCGATGCGCTTTCGATGTAATG